TGGGGACAAACCCCAGACAGACCGAAAGTCCAGAGTCCACTTCCGTCTGAGGGGCCAGGTCTTCTCTGTGCTCCTTTGACTCCCCTCTTGTCTGCTGGACCAGAAGGAGGTAGACACTGACAACAGGCATGAAGGGATAGAGAAGAGAAGAAAAAAGTAATGGCAACAAAATAATTTTTGCCTCAGAATTCCTAAGAACACATAGCATAATCCCAGTGTACAGATTTTTCTGACAGATCCCTTCCTACCACCAACTTGTTCTCACGTCTGTGTTGTGTATATGAAGACCCCAGTGGCGAGCACTGCTCAGGGCAGGGAGGGAGCTAAGAATCCAAATCCAAGGGCAAAGGCATGTGCCTGCCACCTCTGCCACAGCAGTCCTGCTCTGCAGGACCAGAACTAGAGAACAGGCCCACTTCTCCCAGCCTCCAGGCAGAGAAGAGGAAACTGGGTCTTTCATAGCAAGAATAGTGGTTTCTGAGAGCGTGGCAGTTGACTGCCTAGATGAACTTGAGCCTCAAAATTTAGCCATGGCAACTTGTACACTCACTAATCTCAAAATAGTACCAGCCAGATTTTGGAGTCTCAAGACAGTCACACTACTCAGTAGTAACTCAAGATGGACAGAAAGGGCCTTCGAGACAGACGAAAGGAGCGCTCGGGATTCCAGAAACTTCAGCCCTTCTCTCCTCCTTCCACAGACACCTGGGCTTTTCCATCCCTTCTGCCTCAATCCCACCCTCCAAATTAAACCTGTGAATCCTACTTAATCATGTGAATCCTAGTTAATCATGACAGTAGCTAACACTTACTTAGAGCTTACTTCAACCAGGTGCAGGTCTAAGTAATTGCCTTACAGACATCTTCATTTAGTCCTCACCATTGCCCTCTGGTTATTCTACTTTATAGGTGGGGAAACTGAGGCATGGAGAGGTTATGTTATTGGCTCAAGATTACCCAGCTAGTAAGTGCCAGAGCTAGGATTTAAACCCAGATACCTTCTTAATTACTATACTGCCTCTTTAAACTTGGAATAGGTCCAGTGATGGAGGTAATCCAAAAGAGAGGAAAATCCAAAATTCTTCTGCATGCTAAATGCATCATCATCATAGGATACTTTTGCAACTGTTTTTCCCTCCTGATCATGATTTGCTGAAGGTAAATCATTTCAGTGTGGTCTACATGGTCTCAGCCCATGTTAGCTGCTGAGTGAAGGCCCAGCGGCACGCAGGGGCATGGGTTATTCCCAGCGTGCAGGCAGATGCCGGGTGCTGCTGCTCAGCCTGGGGTGGAAGAGTATGAGACCCTCCTGAGGATGGCCAGAGGAGAGTCCCATTTCTTGAAAGGGGAAATCTAACCCTGCAGGGTTTAGGGACTGCCCTGAAAGCTCCATCCCTTCTGGATGACCAGGCCTGTGTGCTCTGAGGAGCTGGATGTGAAGAGGTTTGGTTTACCACTTCAGGGAGAGCCAGGGAAACCCTTTCGCTGACCTGACATCTTTCCTACCATTTGGGACTTGTCACCAGGGAAAGGAGTGACAGTTATAAGAGAAAAAAAAAACACGATTTTTTTCATCCTCCTTCCTCCATTATACCTCCAAAACCCACGTTACCCATGGTTTCCAATGAATAAGGAGGTAGGCAAAACAGAGGTGGGGGGTAGGGTGGGGAGAATGGGAGAGAGAGAGAACACTAAGCTCTTACACTCCAGAGAGTTTGGGGAAAAAATAATTCTCCCAGGTCCTGCCTGCTTAGGGTTTGGCCAGGTGTCTCCTTGGTCAGCCTGGTGTCACACTGGGGGCTACCAGCCTTGTTTCTGGGAGTGGGTGTGGAATGGGTGGGAGGAATGGGCTGTTGAAAGAGTTGGGGGAGGAGGCTGACCTGAAAGCTGGATCTGAACGGTCTTCACAGCCCAGTTTGAAGGATCAGTGGGCTATGGGATGGGGGGTGAGAAAGTGGGTGCATGGGTCGGGGTTAAAAGCTGCCTCTTAAAGGGATCCTGTCACCAACACCCACAGACATGCTTCCTCGCCCCTGCATTCTGATGTGAATCTCCTCTGGGCTGGGTCCACAGGAGCCCTTGGCAATAAGAGCACTGGCTGGTTTCTGCAGCCAGTGGAGGCCCAGGCACTGGGCCCACTGCATCACTTGCCATAGACCAGAGAAGTCAGTCAAAAGCCTCCAGGAGCACAGCCTCTTGAGGGCCAGGGTGAAGCATGAGGCATTAATCTCCGCAGAGCCCAGCCAACCCAATGGCAGGCAGCAATGGAGGGATGGAAGAGGGGGCCGTAGTCAAGGAGGAGTTGACTGTGTTGTGTTTCCTTCCATCTGCATATACTCCCAGAAACCCAAGGCAAAGGGTGACAAGTGATGCCCAACCAAGAGGTTGACAGGGTCCCTTTAGGTCTCGGCCTCTCCACTGGTGCTCGCCAGCTGATTAACCCATGTGTTAACCTCGCCTTCGCCTGCTCTCTGCCTTCCTTCCTTCCTTCCTTCCTTCCTTCCTTCCTTCCTTCCTTCCTTCCTTCCTTCCTTCTTTCCCTCCCTCCTTCCCTCCTTCCCTCCTTCCCTCCTTCCCTCCTTCCCCTTTTCTCCTCTCAGAGGTGATGCAGACCAAGACCAGCCTACCCATTTTGTTTCAGGTCTCTGGTGGGTGAAAGACTCCTTCTTTCTTGAGCCCTGAGCCTTCCTACCTCTTCTCCTGCCCCCACATTCAAATCACATTTTGTTACCATGTTTTCTAGGCTAGATGCCGAACGTCCTGGACTCTGCTCTTGTTCTGACTTCTCTCCTTTCTCTTCCTTGGCCCCTCTCCCCTTCTGAAGTAACTCTACCCACAAAGCTGGTGTTCCTATCTTTGAGAGATATTCCCCAGTGTTTTCTAAAATCTAATTTTAAAACACATGCACATTTATAGTTCATTCGGGGCCTTCATGCTTTACCTTCCTCCATTCAAAGTCAGCCCTCTCCTTTTGCCCTGAGAATGATATCTGAGGTCCTGTGAGGGAATCAGTTGTTTCCTACATATAACATGTGATTTAAATGGGAGAGAGGTCTCTCTCTGCCTCAAAGACTCTAGAACATTCAGAAAATCTTCTGGGAAACCAACAAGAAAGCTATATATTCAGACTGACCCTCACCTAACCCACGCCCTGGCCAACCTCTGCTTCCCCAGCCTGGCCGTGCAAAGTCTCTGCTATGGCACTTCTGTTTTCTTTTGGCAGAAATGCCTGGGAACTGAGAGGCCCCTTTCCCTGTGACCTGACCTCCCACACTAAGAATAACAGCCCTAGGACAGTGTGTCTTGCGATCCCTCTGGAAAGAGGGCATGGCTGGGAAGTGGGGAAGTTAAGGGAGCTGGATAGAGCCAGGAGGAAATGGAAGACACAGCCCCTTAGCTCTTGTGAGTAAAAAATAAAAACGGAGAGTTGGCAGCCTTCTAGAGAGCTGGGGAGAGAGATCCAGGAAAGTCTCAGAGGAACCCTAATGCTTTCGTCTCCACTCACTGATTTCAAGAATTCCATCTCCTGGAGCTCCAGCTAGTGGCTCAGAGAAAAGAAAAATTCTGGTCCTGCTGAGCAAATGTGCTCAGAATAGGACAGTCCTGTTCTGTCCCTTTTGTAGACATTTCTTAAAAATTCAAAGCAGCAAATGTCCTTTTTTTAAAGAAGACAGATGTCTTTAGTACTAGGTCCTTTCCGCCCCACCCACAGACACCGTGGCTGTCCAGTTCCCAGGGCTTCCTAAACTGCGAGCACGTGTCCATGTGGTCACAGCATTGCTCTCTAGACTCTCACACCTCTCAGAGAGGAGGACAACCCACTTGTGGTACAGAGTCTACTACCCAGGACACCTGGAATCCTCTAGGGAATCTGGGACAACCTATCCTTGGTTGACCAGTTGTCCAAGTACCTCAGAAAAAGTCTTTCAAAAACACTTATCTCTTCTCTTTTCTAAATATGGTGGGGAAAAAAAAAAGGTTTTCTGTATACAGGGTAAAGTGGTGTCATCGGGACACTGTCCTTGCTGTTCTGTGCCAGAATCTTTCCTCCATGGCACTCCTTCCCAAGAAGCCTATGTCCCCACCCATACCCTCTACCCAGACTACCCATATCAATCTAGTCCTCAGGAAAGGCTTTGATGACTTTATTCATTTTGGTGCCACCTGCATTTCAGTGGAACCCTATATCAGAATGATGGTGTTGGGAAAGGAGCCTGGGGTACGTGCTTCGGAAACACCCTGAGAGCATTGTCTAGGGCCATGTCCCACACTATCAAACTATGAGATCGACCTGGACTCCATGTCCTTTTAGTAGGAAAGACTTTGTGAGGACAGAGCTGCCCCTGAAAATATTGGGCATGCCCAGTGCTGGAACAAGGTGACCCTCATTCTATCTGCATAATGTCCAACTTTTTATAGATATTGTTTCAATGATGTGGTTCCCTTGTTATTGTGGAAACCAGGTGACCTGGCCACTCTTTTGGACCACACTGATTACTTCTCTTTAGTTCCCAGATCATCCACAGGACCATAGCCCATTGTCCTCCAAGGGGCCATACAGCTGTGTTCCCTCCCTCCCTCTAGACAGGCCCTTGGATGAAGAGAACTGGGGGCATAGGAGATGCCGAATGTAGACTGAAAAGAGAGTCTAGCCACATTCCTGCACCACTGTAGCTTGTATTGCCTGCCCCCCACATGCATGCTTCCCTCGCTGGGAAGTATTTAGAAAGAGCTTCTGTGCAGGAGGGCAGTAAAGTGGGATGGATCTGGAGGAAGGGGTGCCACGTGGCCACAGAAAGGCAGGGCAGGAGGTCTGGACTAGTTGCCTCCTGGAGGCCTCCTTCTTTCCTGGGCTCCTGGGCTCTTGGTCACGGAGAGGGTGTTGGAACTCCAGCAGCAACACCGAGGTGCCCGGACGGTGATTCTGATGGTGATTGTTGCTCTGTTCTTGTCTAATATTCCTTTTTAATCCCCATCCTGCCTGCCCCTCCCTTATGTAGGGTTACTTTAGTGATCCCTGGAATGTTTTTGACTTCCTCATCGTAATTGGCAGCATAATTGACGTCATTCTCAGTGAAACTAATGTGAGTATGACTCTGCCCTCCCCAGGAACCCTCCTCCTTTCTTCTTCCTCTACCTCCTCTATTTCCCTCTCACTCACACTATCTCTCTTTATCTCCTTTTATTTATTTATTTTTAATTTACTATTTTTACCCGCCTCCAGTCACGCTTTTTATTGAACCTGCCGTCGTCCTGTGAAGGGAAAAAAGTGGGAGCTTCTCCTCCTTTTTTTCCACTTGTCCCAGCTTGGCCCTCTGTGCCGGGCCCAGGAGCTCGGAGCCAAGTGGAGGGAGCAGGCGGTGGGAGGCCGCTGGCTCCCCTCCCAGGGTGGCCACAGCCCAGCGTAACCTTTGAACTAACCCAGCTTTTGTCAGGCCTCTCCACCCTGCGAAAACCAGGTTACCCAGGTTTGAGCCACCAGGACTGTAGAGTGGTAAGAGAGTATTTAATATGCCCACGTAACCTCTTTCTTTTCTCATTTTTTTCTCTTCTCTCCTTTCTTTCATGCTTTTTTTTTTTCATTTTTCCTCTTCCTCTTTGTTTTGTTTTTCTCCTTTGTTGGTTTTTTTTTCTCTTCTCTCTCTCCTTTCCTCGGCTTCTCTGCCCCATGCAGCACTATTTCTGTGATGCATGGAATACGTTTGACGCCTTGATTGTTGTGGGTAGCATTGTTGATATAGCAATCACCGAGGTAAACGTAAGTACATGGCGTCTGGACCTGACTGTCCGTGCCTGCTCTAACACTCATTGTCTTTCCCTGGTTTGTTGTTTTTGTCATTATATTTTCTCCTCCCCACCTCCTTATTTCCATTTAATTTATTTAAATTTGTTTAAATTGGTTTAAGAGTTTCTCCTTATTGCTTTATTTTGAAAACTTCCTCATTCTTTTTTTTTTTTTTAACTTTGGAACGAGTTAGGCCTCCTTTTCCTTTAAGTTTTGATTGCTGCATCTCTTTCTCTCTCCCTTTACAATCAGCCTGGCATGACTCACACTGTATAGGAGGATGCAGCTATGGGGACCACGGAGTGAGAAAACCAAGGGACATTTACAACATCTGGGCAGCTGCTGGGGCGGGGACCCAAACCTCTTTTCACTGCGCCTCACCTCCAGACCACTGCCCCTGCCCCTCTTGCCTTTCCACCCACAGCATCTTGGAAAGGAGTTCTCTCCAAGTGGGACCCTGGAGTGAAGGCTCGGTCTTTGCCTGCTCTATCAGCCCCAGGCCCTGTCCATTACACATTAAAAGGGCTCCATCCAATTTAACATCAGCCGCCCATGCAGGCAGCCTAGCCCCTCTAGGCTCATTTGGGAGAGAAGAAGAAAACCAGTTGTGTTCAGAGTCCTGCTTTCAGTCCTCTTCTCTGGAGTGGCCAGAGAGCCAGGTGGCTGGGTGACCCATGGAGAGAGGGTTCTTCTGAGGTTTTTTTTTTCCCCTGTTGCTGGGGCAGCAGCACCTCCCTCCTGCCCAGAGAACTGACTTTTGCACCTCCTGGTTCTCTCCCACTCCCACCCACCTCACACCCTGCCCTGGCTCCCTGGCCTCAGGCAGAACCCCAGCCCCTGCTCTCTGCTCCAAGGCCTGCCTTCCCCCAAGAGCTGCCTCCTCCTATACAGCTTCTACCAGTTCCTGCACATGTCTTTTTGTTACCTGGCATGTTTAAACCTTCTCTCTTTATCTATAGGCAAGCTCTCTGCAGTTCGTCTATAACATGTGTTAATTTTATTGTCATAATTTTTTCTTGATTAAGAGACTTGGTAATGTTTGTGCAAACCTTTGATGCACTGAGCCCTGAATAACAGCATGGAGCAGATGCTGTACAGTTTTGATCAAAGGTGTTTAGACTACCCTACCAACTGCCACCGTCTCTCCCCCCACTGATCCCACCATCCCCTCTCCACTCCATATTTTGCTCCCGATTAGTTGAATTGACACGTTATTTTGTCTGCCTAATTCCCCTGATTCAAAGCCCCTGTCTGCTCCCCTCTCAGCAGATGAACATTGGAGGAGGCTGTCACACTCTTCATACCCTCTCTTAGCCTCTTGTACCCTTGCTGCTCACCCTGTAGCTGTAGATTTGGTTGCCCCTGTCTCCCAGGTCCCCCGAGCTCATGGGGTGTGTGTGTGTGTGTGTGTGTGTGTGTGTGTGAGTGTGTGTGTGTGTGAGTGTGTGTGTGGACACGCGCGCGTGCACGCGTACACTTGCCCTTGACTTCTTCCAGTAAATGGTAGATTATTTAAAAAAAAACAAATATCAGTCTTCCTGCATATGCTCTGTGCCTCCCTCCCCTCACACTCCGCTCCACCATTCCTGAGCACACTCCTGGTTTTGCAGTCTGGATGAGCCCTAAATCATTTCTCAGGTGCTGTTCGGGGCCCTGAGTTGTACATGTGTATGTAAAGGCCAGAGCGTTTGTGCTCGGAGCTGGCACTGCGCAGTGCTCTGAACTGAGGGCATACTCGGGGGGGAGGAACAGGGAAGAGGGAGCGGCAGTAGGCCCTGCCCTCTGAGGCTGTAGTTTTTCAGACAGCAGTGTAGATTGTTATGAAACCTGTGCCAGGGACTTGGAGCCTGATAGACAGCAGGAAAAGGCAGGGAGGTGACGGCAAGCTGTTTCCCTGCATGCGGAGGGGACCCTCTGCTGTCTCGGGGGTTCCTCTGGGGTTCTCACTGTCAGCAAGGCCCACGTCAACACTAGACATGCCATTTTCCCCCCTGAACAGTTGATATTTTTAAAGGAAAATAAAGACAAAGCAAAAGAAACTTCTTAGGGTTTACAATTTCTACAGGAAAAAAAAGCTGCGAGGGAGGGTGCAGGACAGGAGAGGAGCGGAATGCCATTGTGCAGACCCTTCCACTTGTGCCTGGTTTTCTGTTGGCAGCTCACCCTTGCATTCGTCTCATGTCACTCTGAACTGTGCTGTGGGATTGACAGGCAAGAGGGAGCCTCCCCAGCTTGCTGGTGCTAAACATGCTAGTGGAGAGATTAAGTGCCCTTCGGAGCTGCACAGCTGGAGTACAGACCTCCTGGGGTGCCCCCTCACTTCACTTGGCCCTGGGCCACAGCTCCCCATTCTCTCTAACATGCAATGCCTTTTGATAAGCACAGACATCTCACACGCCCTACCTTCTGTACCTCCACCAGCCAGGATTTGTTCAGCCCTTACGTTCTGTAATTTGTATTTAAATTAACCACAAGTTTTTGTATATTCTAAACAAAAAATGATTTATCAGCCCTCCCTTGGAGTTCTGAAGCACCTGTAACATCCCAGCTTCCCTCTACCCCACAGTGAGGTGCTCTTCACTCCTCCTGATTGAAGAGCTGGCAAAAAGTCACACTGAAGGGGTGTCTGGAGATTAAATGGGGGCAGTGTGTGTGAGGGGCAGTGAGGGGAGGTGTCCAGAGACCCAGCACTCATTTCCCTCCCCACAATCAATGGCTTGTGAACCAGAAGAACAAATATGACATCCCCCAAAGCAGGAAGGTGGTATGGAAGGGGAAGAGAGGACTGGACATAAAGTCAAAGCTGGCAAGTTTCTGAGTCTTGTTGCTGCTTCTTCCTGTAAAAGAAGGCAGTTTCCTCATCTGTCAAAGGAATGTGATGATATCTATAGCACTGTGTTTTGAAGCTCAAGTAACAGCATCTATTTTAAAACTCTATGTAAACTGTAAAGTGCTACTGAATGGGAGAGACTGTGGTACCCAAAATTTCCCCCCAGTCTCTGCTCGAATAGCTAGGAGGGCCTAGTCTCTGGCCAATTATATTTCATTATAACTGACTACCCACAGACACTGAACCCTTGTTTCCCATATGGTTAGACTCTTAGAGGTGGTTAACAGGTATGGCCAGCACAGAGCAAGCACAGATTACTGACCACCACCCATAACCCCAGCCTCAATAGGCCTGTTTGACAAGCATAGTTCTGGTGTAACCCTGCACTTGGAGAGCTGCCAACATTGGGGATGGCAAATTAGTCTCAGAGGTAGCTCTATCTGCCTGTATGGTTCTGACTGCAGGCCACTGGCAGCTTATGAGTCTGGACACTTCCTGGTGCAAGGAAGTTTATAGCTCCAGGGAGTTTTCCCTAGGAGCTGCTAAGGCCTTCCCAGAATCCTCTAGTCTTACTGTCCTCCCAAGATATTCATCCCCAGACCTATGTTCTATCTGGTAGGAATCTGTACTTTTAGCCTCAGAGGCTAAAAGGTATGGATATGAGGGTGTTTCACCTGTAACTCATCATCTTTGACTTACTTAAGCCTACAGAAATCAACTCTCATTACCCTCACCCAATAGCCCTGTTCATCCTAACTGCCCTTTGACTATTACTCACATTTAAACTCACCTCCCTTAGACACCTCTTTCCTCCTTGCCTTTACCAGGCTATGGCACCTCTGCCTTTGGGAAATGGATTTCCCCATCCCCAGGAACCATCATTCATTCATTCCACTGTACGCATCATCTCCCCTCCTGTGTGTCAGGTATGATGTTAGGCACCTGGAATACATCAGTCCACAAAACAAAAGCCCTTCCTCCTGAGCTGCCTTTCTAGGGTCAGAGGAATAATAAGACAGTGAATTTTGCAATGAGCACAGAAAATAAGGCAGTCGTACAGTGTGTGAAAAACTGCTAAGTGCTTTGGGAAAGGAAAAATGTCAAGTAAGGGTGATCTGAGGTGCTAAGGAGCAGCGAAGGAAAGTGCTATTTCAAATAAGATGGAAGTGAGTGAATTACCCATGCAGACATCTGGGAGGGCAGCTTCTCTGGCAGGAGGAGCAGGCGAAAAGGAGCAGGGAGGGGATCAGAGAAGGAGGCCAGATTTTTTTTTTTTTTTGTTGAGCAAGAAGGGGAGACACCAGTGCCTTTAAGAAGAGATGTCCCATAATCTGACTTACATTTTTCAAGGGTGGCTTTGCTGTATGTGGGAGTTGGGGTGGAAACCAGAACAGCATGTAGAGGTGGATGTGGTAACCTGGAGGGAAGGGATGGGAGCTGCAACAAAGCAGAGTGGTAGAAGTGGTGAAAATGGTCAGATTCTCAGTCTGTTTTGAAAACAGAACTAACAGCATCTCCTGACAGACTGGATTTGGGAGCAGAAGGAAGAGGCGTCCAGGATGGCTGTGAGGTTTGAGCCCAAGCATGGGAGGATGGAGTTGGTGTGAACTGGGAAGGACAGGAAGTGGAGCACGTTTGTGTGAGGAGCTCAGTTGGAACGTGTCTATATCACTTCCCAGTGGGGATGGCAGGTAGGCAGTTGGCACACAGTCTGAGGTCAGGGCATGGAGTCGTCAGCATGTAGATAATATCCAAAGCCATGACAGTGGTGAAGAGCGCCCAGAGGGAGAGAGACAGGAGAGAGCCAGAGACTGAGCGGGATGGGGCCTCCAGCATGAAGTGGGGGGACCCTGTGTGCTTAGAGCCAGTCTGTGGTTCAGTTTCTGTTCACACTGGAGGAATGCCCCTGAACCACTGCCAATGCAACTAGAGGGCAGTCATAAGTCCCCCACCTTGCATAGCTATGCTGCATTCTGCTTCCACTGCCCTTCTCCTCCCTGAGGCACTGCCTAGCTCTCAGCTGGAGGCTCCCCTGCCTCTGTGTCCCCTGGGAGGGTGAAGTGCAGCCTCTGGTCACTCTAAGGAAGGCTTCTGGACTCCCTTTATTTCTGGGGTCTGAAATCATATTTTCCAGAGAAAACCC